AATGGCGCGGTCTCGGCTCACCGCAACCTCCGCCTCCTGGGTTCAGGCAATTCTCCTGCCTCAGCCTCCCGAGTAGCTGGGATTACAGGCACGCACCACCATGCCCAGCTAATTTTTTTGTATTTTTAGTAGAGACGGGGTTTCACCATGCTGACCAGGATGGTCTCGATATCTTGACCTCGTGATCCACCGGCCTCGGCCTCCCAAAGTGCTGGGATTACAGGCTTGAGCCACCGCGCCCGGCCGAGAACATTTTTATATTAAAAATCCTTTTATGGTAACAATTTATACAATATAGAAGTTTGTGAACTGAAAGTAATACTCTCCCTCTCCTACTCTAGATCCAAATCCCTAACTCTTTTCTCTTTTTTTTCTTTGAGATGGAGTCTTTCTCTTGTCATCCAGGCTGGAGTGCAGTGGCACGATCTCAGCTCACTGCAACCTCTGCCTCCTGGGTTCAAGCAATTCTCCTGCCTCGGCCTCCCAACTAGTTGGGATTACAGGTGCCGGTCACCAAGTCCCACTAATTTTTTAGTAGAGACGGGGTTTTGCCATGTTAGCCAGGTTGGTCTTGAACTTCTGACCTTGTGATCTGCCCACCTTGATCTCTCAAAGTGCTGGGATTACAGGTGTGAGCCACCATGCCCAGCCCCTAACTCTTCGATCTGGTGCGTATCTTTCCATAATTTTTCCTTTGTCTATATAAACACATGCAGATATGTATTCAGATACACGAAGTCTTTTAAAAACTGGTTTATAGCACATACTGAAAAGAGAAAAATATGAGTAGCATGGAGAAATGTTCACTTTACAATAACAAGTTTTACAAGCAACATAAAATTTAATATACTACAGCAAGATCTCAATTACATCTCAAAAGTAGAAAAAAGAAAAAAGTCTACAGTCAAATATATAATTAATATGTAAATAAATAAGTATGAAGTATTAATTGCAAATATTAATGAATAACATTTACAATTTCTAGAGCTTAGAAAAAAGTCTATAGTAAAATAAATAATAAGTAAATAAATGAGTATTAAGTACTAATTACAAAGATTAATGAAGAATGTTTACTATTTCTAGAGCTTAGAAAAGTCTGGAGTGAAATATAAAATAAATATGTAAATAAATGAGTCTTAAGTACTAATTACAAATATTAATGAATATTGTTTACTATTAATAATAAATCTTTTCTCCTGGAACTAACAGAGCATTGTTCTCTTCACAATTCCCATTAAGACTTAAAGTAAAACACATCTTACTACATTTTAAGGGAAATATTGGAGGCTGAGGGCACATATTTGAACCACCTGCCTCCCAGTTCCGTCCAAAATGACCTAGAAAATTTAAAATATGTAAAACCTTAAATCAGTACTGGAAGCTAGGGAAGGAAGCCATATAAATGCCAGAAACTTCAAAGAATTTCTTTTAAATCCTGTGCAGTCTGGACCTGATTAAAGAAAGACAACAAAGGCCAATTTGCCATCACCAAAGATGCAGCTTGACCTGGAGGGATGGAGCCTGGAGGCCAACAGCAGGACCTCGCCAGTGATTCTTTCAGCTCTTGAAAACCGTGAGAGTTTGATGGTATTAGAGTTGGAAAACAGTGGTAACTATTTCAAGCAGAAAGCCCAGGCATGGTGGCAATCGCTGTGTTATTGGATGATTTCCCAAAGCTTTGGAGATTTTTCACAGTCTCTGTGGAGCAGGGTGTGAAGACAAGGCCTAAGTGGCTACCCCATGGAGCGGGCCGTCACTGACAGCAGCATTCTCTGACGATGCGGTGGGCACCTGGCTAGAGACCTCACCTAGGAAGTAGGGTCAGGGCAGCTACATCACACATCAGAAATGAGCCTGCGACCCCTCAGAAGCCCTAGATAGGAAGCTCACCATGCAATCTATCAACTAGCACAGCACTTTCACCAAATCCAAAAAGCAACCCTATAAAGATGAAGCTTAAATATATTTTTTTTAAATTGACACCTCCTCACATAATACATAAGAAGTAATTCAAAAGGGGGCATATATTTAAATGTAAAACATAAATACATAAGGCTTTTAGAAGAAAGCATGATGTCTTCATGATCTTTGTTTAGGCAAAATTTCTCAAACAGGACACCAAAAACCCTAGCCAGAAAATAAAAGTTTGAAGAAGTCGAACTTCTTTTTTATGTCTAATTTATGTTTATCAAAAGACAATATGGGGAGGGAAACAAGGCAAGCCACAGACTGGGAGAAGACATTTGTAATAGATGTAGCCAACCATGGACCCATACTCAGACCATATAAAGAATTCCCAGGCCAGGCACAGTGGCTCACACCTGTAATCCCAGCACTTTGGGAGGCCGTCGCGGGCGGACCACTTCAGGTCAGGAGTTCAAGACCAGCCTGGCCAACATGGTGAAAACCTGTCTCTACTAAAAATAAAAAAATAAAAAATTAGCCAGGCATGGCGTCACGTGCCTGTAATCCCAGCTACTCGGGAGGCTGAGGCAGCAGAATTGCTTAACCCTGGGAGGCAAAAGTTGCAGTGAGCTGAAATCATGCCACTGCACTCCAGCCTGGGCGGCAGAGTGAGACTCCGTCTCAAAAAAATATATATAAAAAAGAATTTCCACAAATCAGTATGACTATAACTGAAAACTACTTAAAAATGAGAAGAAGAAGAAAAACTTTAACAGACACCTCACAGAAGTGGAGAGCGTATGGATGGATGACCAATAAGTGATGAACACCATTCACAGGGAAAGAAAAACAGCTGACAGTAAGAAGTGTGACAAAGATGCAGGGCAACTGGAATTCTCCAAAATTGTTGCTAAAAGTGTAAACAGATTTTTTTAAAACTTTGGAAAAATGTTTGAATAAAACTAAATATATGTATAATCTATTACCCAGAATTTCCTTTCGGGTATATAA